CATAGATAAGAATACCTTTGGAGAGGCAAGGCTAGAGATAATTGATAGGATCTTGATGCCTAATAAAAAAATTATTGGAGAAAATCTATTGTCGATCCGTTATTTATTAAATTAGTAATTAAATTTAATTTATCCCTTAAGCTATTTTAAAAATAAATTCTTAAATTCGTTTACATTATTATATTTATATCTCATAGAAAAAATGACACTGCGGCGTTTGGAACTATCGTAAAGACGCAAAGTTAGGTTGACGTAACTTTCAAACCAACTGTATTTGGGGCAACAATTAAGAGAAAATGAGAATTCGGAGATGCTTATATTTTCTAAAAAGAAGAGACAAGTTCCATTTTTAATGTTATACGGCTGAGTATGTAGCCTGTAGTTCTACTGACAAACGATATACAAGTGCTTTTGAGCTGAGAGCAAGGACAATCGCAAGTCAATCTGGCAAAAGTATACAACCTGGAGTGACCCTATCCAAAAGCGTTGGACGGTCAACAGCGTATGCTGAAATGAACCAACATAATGACTTTTTAGCACAAAGGAGGGCATAAAGTGCCTGAAACAGAGGAGTTTGTCCACTTTGCTCTGGGAGCGTCATTGTGGCACAAAAAGTTGCATTGTCTAACTTGACGCTTTAGTTCCATTTTGACAACGAAATTTTGAAAAAAAAGACTAAAAAGAGAACGTCAAACAGTATTCTTCACCTGGGAGCCTCCAAAGGATTTCACTTTCGTGCATTCAGTACCAACTAAAGCGCATATAAATCACCGTCTAGAATATGGGCGCTGAATTCCAATGTGTGTGTGTGTGTGTGTGTGTGTGTACCCCGAACAATTATTCAAAACCTATCTTCCAGGTGGCAAAGGAAGAACATTTTATGGTTGGGCATTTATTTCGGAATTCTTATTCCTCATTACTCGCCAAGAAATGGGCCAATTTACCCGTCAAATAAGGCAGACCAGCATTGCATGTCCGATCGGGGCCGCGTAAACGCAGAGGCAGCCTCCGGAGGGAAGGAGTAACAATGCAACTTCGTCAGCTTGGACGACCAACAGGAAGCATTTGCAGAGAGCCCTTCGGAAGACGGAAATGTCAGCTTGACATCCAATCTACTGGCCATAGCTGGCCCTTCAGGGACATAGTGGTAGCAACGGGAGCATATTATGTTCATCCGATTGGACTGCAGGTGAAAATTGTACGAGGGAAGGAATGGGGTATTCAAGAACCGGCTGAATCTGTAGTCTGACCGGCGTTTTGGAGATTTCATTCCCCTCTTCCGGACGCACTTACAAGCCCTCATCTCGTAAAAGCCGGCCTCAGACGTCCCATAAACTAGGCCCTTTGAGGGTGTGTAATTGGCAAAAGCCCATCGGTTAGTCTAGGTCATGATTTGAATGCATTCTGAAACTAGTCATTTTTGTCTGACCAAGAATTTAGTATAAAAGCTTAGGTATTCGAGGTCGCTTAGGGTGAGTGAAAGACTCATAGTTGAGCCTACACATGATGAGAGGAATGCGTTTCATGATACCATTAAATTTTACTCATCCTTTCCTCCCATAAGGCGGTTTCATCTAGGGAGTACACAGTTTATACTCCCAGCAGGAGTCGATACCAGGTCATGAGCATCATGGCGATGTTACCACTCCAATCAAGTAGACCTAAGGGTGCCATAAGTCACAGGGCAAACTGTGGGATTGTTGATTAGGCAAACATATGTTTTCCGTTACAATCGAAAAGTTTACTCATTTTCGATTAGAGTAGTTTTCTAGACTTTAACTAATGCCTTAATAGGAGATTAATCACACTAGGTTGCTTAAAGTGTCCTAAAGAGTACGCATTCAATCGTTATAAAACCCAACTGTTAGTCCTTACACAATGTATTAGTGAATTAGTTCTTAATCATGAATTACTGATAGTCTCATAAACTACTTATATAAAAATAAGTAACGTCGTCTAATGGAATGACAATCCTACTGAAAATGCGATTTGGGAGAGGCCTGACTTACTTTGAATGTCGTATCTGCTCCGTGTTCTACTGGCATTCGGGGTTGTGTAGTACAGTTGAGTGGTAACATAGCCAGAATATTCATGACCCGGTACAGAATCACGCTGGGGGTGTTGATGATACCTAGACGAGTTCGAAACTGCAGTTAACTATGGAGGAAACAGCCTTTTGAGGAGCAAAGCTAAGGTAAATTCAATTAAATCGTGAGACTCACTCGCATTATTGTGGGAAAACACAACTGTCAGTTCTCTTCTAATCTTAAGTGGCCTAAGGATACCAAGCTATTATTCAAGAATTACTAATAATTTCGAAAACTATTTATATTTAAAATAAGAATTTAGTCACCCCATTTTTCTAAAGGTAGTTTACGGACCGACAATATAGTTTTTCTCAG